GTCAGGTTCAGCAGTTCTTAGCTGTCGTGGACATGGCAAAAGCTGTGGGCAAGCTCTATGTATTGCTGCCAAATTTGTCTTGAGGCTTTGGTGTTTTGCAATTACACGGGCTGTAATGGGGAACGCTGAGGTTCTGGTTTTTGCAAAGATATTTAGTTAGAGCCACTGGTGAGGCTGTGCATGGAAGGTGGGGCAGCACTCTCCAAAAACAAACAAAAAAAACCCCCAACAAATTACTGTTATGCAAGTTACATCTGAGAAAACGGATGATTGTGGAATACAGTATTTGCTGGATGACCTGCATGTGTGCTTATGAATACATTGCATATGCAGTTTTAAGCCTTTGTTGTGTGGTTTCCTATTCTGTTTTCTTCAACTGAAGAATTTCTGTCAAGTTTAGTGGCAAGAGAGGGAAATGAGCAAGCACTTCTTGAGTGTGATTATGAAAAGTGACATGTCTTCTGAGAAAGATCACCCGAGCATGCAAAAGCATTGTTTTAAGTGAGAAAGTACTCAAAAAGTAAGTAAAGGAAGACTAGAAGTGTGATTATACCAACGCTTGAAAGAAACGGTAAAGGCACCAAATGCTTGCAGCGTTGAATTTCCGTGTTGGATTAAATGTTGAGTCCACTCAGTCACTTTTCCTTTACTTTTCTGAAATTCTTTCATAGAAAACAGCAGCATCTTTCGAGGGAAAGCTGATGATGGTCAGTTAGACCAATGGTTCTTGGGCCATTTTAGTGTTAGTTTTCTTTTTAACAGTCTTTAACTTTTGACTTCTGTGTTGTTCATGGTTTGAAGTTTACTCCACTTCATTATACAGAAAGGATGCTGTCTCTTAAGTTATACGCTGTAAGGAACATTTAAAGGGATATTTTGGAAATGTTATATCAAAATGATTAAACTCAAGCTGTGGACTGTAAAAATTACAGCTTTATAGGCCACATGCCTGCCTACCCTTCAATCACTGTCAAAGTGATAATTTCTACAATAATATGTTTCTTTTATTGTGGGATTCTAAAAACAAGTGCTGTTTAAACATTAAACTGAATTGTTTATGTTAGTGCTGTACTCAGTGTGTCATACATCAGGCCACTATAATCTCCCATGGAATGTAAAAATTCTGTCATGAATCATGGCTTGTATATCAGAAATTAGTGTAATTTTGATTGGAAATTACAGGGCTCTTGAAATGTTTCTAATTATGATAGAATGTTACAGCAGCTTCCAACCTGTGTGCTCCTCAGATGTCTTTATTCACATGTCAAGACTTGGGGTTAGAGAACTGTCCGTTTTCTGCACCTTCCCCTTCCCATTACAGCTCTCCATAAAACTAAGGTCTGAAGCCAATCTGTCGGTCCACGTAATTTTGATCTGATCTGATTTATGTGACAGTATATTTATTTCAGTGTGTAATCTTAAAGGTTCTAGATAGGACAGCTCTTACAGAGCTGACTTTAAAAGGGACAGGTAATCAAAGTGAAGCCCAAAAGCTTCCAGAGGTTGCGGTGCAACTTCTTTTAGCACAAAGTGCCATTTTGTAGTAGAAAGCTGCTTCACAGAAGTAACCTCTTAGGTAAACTGAATGTCAACCAATTAATAAGCTTTAAATATGTGACAAGCCACATATATTGAAGGAGATACGTGTACTGTAAAAAATTCTGCACTGGAGCTTGTCAGTGGTACAGAGAAATATGTCTTGGGGCAAAGAAGTCTACCTTGCACTAAAAAGAGGCTTGTTCAAACAAATTATTTAAGAGAACTTGTCTTGAGAGAGGTACATTGTTGAGGGTTGGCTGGTTTGTTTGTTTGTTTTAAATTGGGGATAGTGGATTCTAGCTCAGAACTGGAAATCCTGGGATAATCACTTCCAGTTATAGTGAGAAAGTCTGGAGGACATATATTAAAAAATGATGCATTAGCTAACAGCTTTGGTTTTAAAATCACTAAAATTGAACATTGCTGCTCATATCTTATTTTGGATATAAAACCTCGATTAACTGCTGAGTCTAGTCTGGAGTCATGGTATGAAAAAATATGTGACCTAAAACAGCAGTACCGGTGGATGAAGTTAGTTGTTTGCTGGAGGGCCTTTTCGCTCGTTTTTCTTTTAAGGAACTGGTTTAGGTCAGCATTAGATTGGGTGTGTAAGTAGCCAGCATCTGCAAGGTCACTGGGCTGGCCTGAGCCGGGAGACAGCAGGTAATGTGTGGAGCACTTTGTACAGAGGGGTTAAATGTTATGCTACGGAGGTTCTGTTTAGGTAGCGCGGAGGTAAAATCCGAACATCTCCCCTTGCACTGCGTTAGTGCCTTTGGCAAGAGCTACCTAAGAGCTAACTGCATATGGACCTGACGCTCAATAAACCTCCTGGGTACGGGGGCTCGGTGTGTCAGAGGTGATAGTGCAGAGCAAGGGAAGGGTGATGGGAGCAGGAAGAGATGGCAGTGATATTGATGAGACCGTGCTCTCGCTTAGGTGAGAGATGATTTGTGTTCTTGTGGTTTCATGGTGCGCTTCGCTGGCAGCTTGTTTGCTTTTGTAATGAAAAGGGGACGAGTTTGGGGACTTGACTAGAAGATTCCTTCAAATGTTGAATTCTTTTCCCATGTAGGAATGTGTTCATTCTGTATATTTTTAAAGTTTCTATGTTTTTAAGCTTCGATATATTACCTGCAGGATAAATTCAAATTCTGTTAAATTCAAGATACACACTTTAAAAGTTACTATGGTTATACTGAAGAGCCAAGGAAGATATTATAATTCAAATTGCTTGAATACATCATATCTTTGGGGGGTTTTAGAGTTGTAATTGGCAAAACACCTAATGTCAGTATTTAAAATTTTACATTTTTATTGCAAGTTGTCTACCTAATAGGCCTACGAATATTCTTCTTACATTATGTTGAAAAGAGAGCTTTAGAAAAATGCATGCAAAAGGAAGACAGGGAAGTTTACTAAGTGCTTTGTGTCTGTTCCCAAGTTGTTGTTTTTTAGTGGTAGAACAGCAATACTAACAATATTTTTTTACTAAAATTTAATCAGCAGACCTGAATGTGTGAAATGGAAGAAAATGAAAAGAATCCACACAAATATAAATGTATGTGGTATACATTACTTTTACAATTTAATCACACCGGATTTTTATTAAATTTATAACGTGTCAGTCTGAGTCAAGTAATTATGAAAGCACATTCTTAATTTCATTATTTCACAGTAAAAAAAAAAAAAAGTTGATTTCTGTAATGATCATTAAGGTGTCATGGTTCAGTAACTGTGCATTGGCTGCAATGCTTTCATGTGGGAGCCAGGGATGAGGTTTTTTCTTGGTGGTGACAGATGCTGAAATCTAATTTTATTCCTTAAAAACAGACAAACAAACAAACAAAGAAAAACCCCAAACCTAAGAGCCCTGAGAGATAAGGCAAGTAGAGACTTGTAGTGTTTCTGTGTGTTTGCTGTGTTTTGAGAAGTTACATCTGTGTTAATAGCTTATCCTGGAAAGCTCTGGCCTCCAAATGCTAGCATGCAGCGGGGAAGAAAGCAAAACTTTGCTGAAAAATCAGTTTACACTGAATTTAGGATATAACAGTTTACAAAAAGCTCAAGTAATACCAACATTTGTACCTCTGAGAGAGTACCATTTACGGTGTAAGGCTGTTAGCCTGCATTGTTATACCTGAATGCATTCACTGCATAGTAGAATAAGTAGGTAAAATCGACACTGTCCTGCCTTGTCAGTCCTGCTGATTACTGTGTGTGGCTGGGTAGGTGCCAAATGCCCTCCTCTCTCACCGAATAAAAATGCCTGTATGTTGAAGGCAAGGCACTTGCCTCTCACAAAATCATGCTCTGATTTTGACTTCAGAATAAAACAAATGTAGGACTACCCATACCCCCAGAATTCTCATCTAATTACAGAAAGTTTTGACCTGTTACTTCTGAGCTGTTGCACTGTGTTGCCCAATTTCCTGTCCTTCCGTCCTCATCTTTCACTTTGGGTAGGCAGCTAGCCCCTAGAAAATTAGTATCACATGCAAAACGTGGAGGCAAAATTTGGACTATGCTAGAGACTCCATCCTAAGCCAAGAGACAAATATTTTGTGACTTTTTTTTTTTTGTTAGGAGTGTTTTACCTTTTGCCTTAGAAAGCACATGGAGCATCCTTCTCGGAAAGGCTGCATGGGGAGGCACACCAGGTAGGCTTTAGGCAGAGTGTCTAACACTAGTGCATAGGTAGGAAGGAGTTAAACTGGAAGGGAATGCTAAACATTGGCACTAAAATTGCTTTTGGCATGCAAATACCATGCTTTTCCCGACATAAATATTTTCAGAATAGGCCATTAGAGTTCAGGTATATAAAACCCTACTTTTACTGGAAATTTTAATGTTATAGTAAACCTGGAGATTTATAGTGAAAAATTGATGTCTGTTATCTCACTTTTATCTTTTTAACCAGCAGTTTTATAAATGCTATATCTTTGATCTGGCTTTTTCTATCTAGAGACTAAGCTATATAGTCTAATAGGAAAGTAATTTTTAAACAGCATCCCACACTGAACAAGCACAGTATTGTGGATCTGACACGAAGATGCAACATGCCATTACCACAAACAGAGAACAATCTATCCAAGTATTTTCCAGCTTGGGAAGGGGAGGAAGAAACCTTTTTATCAGCAAGAGTA